CACAGGAAAGTGTATTTTTAACACAGACAGACAGACATACATACATGCATACATACATACATGTACTGACCCTCAAAAAGCACCTTAATTAACATGTTGGACCCCCGCCCTGGTGGATAAGGCTCGTGCCATTTCCAGCTGCATGGACCAGTATTCTGTTTTTGGTAGTTGATCGAAATTCCTGTTCCCAAAATGGGCATTACAGAGCACAATTTCCCTTATGTTTGTCCTTATATACAGGATCCCTAAACAATTATTTCAAAAGACCTGTAGATGCCCCTATATATTGGCAAGTCTTTCCGCGAAGGTTAATGGAGTCTGATGCCAAAAGATGCACCGCAGCCCCCTGAACAACGTCAAAAAGATTGACGCTCTAGACACGTTCGGGGGTCACAATTTCACGAATAATGCCAGAAGACCCAGGGAGCCCAACATCACTCAAGTAAGGAGTAGATACTTTCATCATACTAGGGTTGCTATTTTCTGCTACTCCAAGGTACCGCATCTCTTTCAATTAAGGGGTAACGGTCCCTCGGAAGACCACCCCACGGCGGAAGAGGCTGCAGAAATGTCTGACACGATCACCGTCCTGGCAGTGCATGGTTTTCGTCGCAGCCGCGAGGAAATCGCTAGGCTGGGTGGCAGTTTCGGAGTTTCGGATATCTATTGATTTGCCCAAGGGAGGCTTTCATGAACGATTTTGGGATGTCCAAAGTACCACCCAGCAGGCCTTCAAGCACGTGATTGTGGAGTTGTAAGGAAAGCGATTCACGAAGTAGGTATCGGTGTGAGCAGCTACGGTCTCTGCTTAGGACCATCTAAAGAGCTCGAAGCAATAACATTTCGCGCTGGGACAGTTCGGGGGTTCAGAGGCCTTGCTGTGCAGCAAGGAAACGTCAAACATCTCACCTACATTCATACATGCATGCTAGTTACCCTAAATGAGGGACCCCTGATATAAGAAAATCCTTGTTATGGGGACCCCAAAAGGGTGCCCCCACTTTTCGGAAACACCCCAGAATATTCCCCATGTCTTCTTTCGGTTCCGTTGCTTTGAAGACTTCTGGCCTGCCCAAACTCCAAGTTCGCGGCAAGTCTATCAGGCCTATTTGCCAGTGACGGGAATTCCCAAAATTGAAGCCTTCAAGTGCGAGCTTAGCTTTGATGAGAAAGAGATCCAACCAGCCTGGACATTTTGAGAATCTTTCAGGTGTCGGGCTGAAAGTGCACATTTGTGATAACATTCTGGCAGCCCTCAGCTGTTTTCCTCTCATCAGCAACAGATGGAAGCTTGTGACATCATCTTACATCTTGTGACATCATGGCCCTTTTCTGCCAGCACTACTCCAACAACGGAATTTGAGATGTTGAAAGTTATTTCATACCCAACTTGACCCAAGAACCTCCAAGCATTGCAGCTATGCGCTGGCTCTCTGTTGCAGGCTCGAGGAGGCCCTCTGCAAGAACAAGCGTACGCAGGCTGGGAGTGGGTGCGATGAACCTCAGGGTTCTTGAGGTCTTTACATACCCAGCGAAAGCAGGGCTATGTCCAAAAAACACAAAACAGCAGGTTCTTGACCAAAGCTTGTGATGTTGTGGTGAAGCGACTCTTGTGTTATTGCTCGGCAGTTGCCGTCAAGATGCGCGTCGGAGGCTCGTCCAGTACCCCAAGAACCCCACCAGAGCCAATTCCCCTGCTTCTGACTCCTGAAGCGCCTTTCTGAAATATCCTCAGCCTTCCCTCGAGCTGATTGTCCCTTGCAGTATATGCTTGCCGTGTCAGTATATGCTCGCCATATCAGGTCGCATGATCACACACCTGGTGTCCACTGTTTGGGCATAAGTGCTTGCATACTTTTGAGGGTCTCTGGAGTTAGTTATGTATTACATCCCTCGGATGACCAGATTTGAATCTTACCCTAGAACCCCTCAGCAACCCCAGGGTCCAGCAAGGAAGGAGCTGTTAGTCTGGTCTACTTCAGAGGTGGCTGTTGATGCCGCAGGTGCTGACATTGCAGTGCGCTGCAGACGGGGACTTTTGCAAGGCTCCTTGCGCTACAAGCCTTTCTGAATTTCGAATTGCAAGATTTTGTTGGGATTTCCCCAAACCCCTAAATAAGCCTAGAACATCCCAAAACCACAGCCCGTAAACCGCCCACGAGGCTGGAAGAGACAGGCCGCGTGCTTGATGAACCCCCGCGTCAGCAGTACATTTTTACCCCACCTGCTGTAAGCCTTGCTGGTACTTAGTAGGGACTGGAGGAACAAGGAAGAGTAGCCACCGCGGGGTGTAGGGCTAAAGTTTAGAGAGTGGACAAGACAACCGACGCCCCCCGATTATTGGCGAGTATATCAGGGCTGCCATGCGGATCCATCCTACTAACCACCGGTAAGCTAAGAAGGCAGGACTAGGAAATGTGCAAGCCAGAAGCCAAGGCAAGTGGGAAGCAAGGATGAACCCGGAGGTTCCAGATGCCTATGCTTCAAGCACACAGGCCTCAAAGTACCTAGGTAGGAACCTCTGTGAGCTCCCAAGGTGTATCAAATAGGTCCCCAAGTCCCAAGCCCTCCACCCGAAGCCCTACACTGTGAAAATTTATCGTCCCTCGTGAGTCCTGGGTATCATAAATATTAGGACCCACCTGAACGGGACCACTATTTTGAGTAACTGGCATATATACGGCATATACCGCTGCAGGTAGCAAGAGAAGGATCCCTTTTTGTCATTTCCTACAAGTACCAACCCACCAAAATCCCCACGGTCAAATTACGCTCCTCAAAGCTAATTAGCATGGAATTCCAGAGCCTGTATAGCTCACTTTTTGAGGGTTCCCGCTTAGTTTAGGGGGTGACGCAAAACCGTGAACTTTCAACCCTGAATGAGTGCATTAAGGCTTCGTGCCTTCAGATGTCGGGCACAGAGGTTTTGGAGCTGTCAATGGCACCAGAGACACCACTTTGGCAGGTCTCTTCGCTGTTATTATTTGGTTTAGATGACACCTCGTAGGTGAGTAATTATCTCAAACTAGTCCCTACCCCACCCTACATAATCCCGAAGCAAGGGGGAGGCCCCAGATTCTCCTGATGATGCTCATTTAGCCCTGGCCAGGATGTCTAGAGACTCTATCACAAAGGCTCCGAAAAGAGAGACGCAGCTTGGAGTATCTCCCCTTCGGAGCATTCTGCGAGACTTTGGGGGCCTGGAGGGTATGACCCTCAACCCAGGATAGCTAATACTTTTCAGGGTAGGGCTTCTTCAATACAACTATATACAAGAAGGACTCTGTTTGTCCTGGCCGGCCAGGGACTATGCTTTGGGCGCAGAACCAAATGAATGAAAAGCTTGCTCAGTTTCGAGACTTCCTAAGTAATCCGACATGTGTTTCCTTTTTGACGTTAGGGTCTTTTGATTAGGAACAGGTACAGTTAGGGCGGGGCCTTGCAACAATTGCGTTGGATTGAAGAAACCAAAACTTGCTACCAGATTTGCATGAACTCTGATCGGAGCTTGCTTCTGACACGTTCTCTCTCGCCGCACAGGACTCCTCTACTGACTGGGATGATTACCAATCGGAAAGTTTGCCATGCATCCAGGTCTTTGCTTCTGTAGCCGAAGCGATGACGCAGCCTGCCGACAGTCTGCGGCTCATTACCCCCTCCGGGCAGGAGATGGCTGTTGCTCCGTTTGAGGGTTTGGGACATATCAGAGGTTTGAGACTCAGGGCTTGACCGTTGAGACTTCATTGCGAACAAGGGTCAGGGTCAAGGCGGTGTCAGACCTATTTTCCGCTATCTTTTGAAGCGGGGCTTCTGAAAGAAGGTACCCTAGCGCCCTCGGAAGATGTAAAGGTTGTTACGATATGAATGGGTCCCTCACATGGCTAGACAGGTAAATGGTCCGAATCCTCGACACCCCATCTCATCTTGAGACTTGTGAAGGAAATCTTGAGCAACTCGCAAGAATCTTTGCGGACGCTTGCAGCTGTTGTGGAAGTTTTTCTTGGTTAAGTCCTGCCAGAGGTCCTTGATTTGTTTTCTTTGGATTCAGGAGGTAGTAGATGCCATCCTCTCGTCAACCAACTCTCGAGCCAAGGAGCATCGCTGCTGTTCCTGCATAGTGAGCTGAAGACAGACTTTAGAGCGGAGGGAACTCGCTGCAGTCAATTGCTAACTGCGTTCTGGTGAAGTGCTTCGGCGTGTCCTCTTCTCTGTGAGGGACAAATACAGGGTAGATGAGCGTGTGGTTTGTTGCTCTTGTTCTTTGTTGTTGCTGCCTGTGTGTGCAACGCATCTCCGTTGGCTAAGAGCCCTCGTGGCATGGTCTGACAACATTGCATGGCATGCCCCCTTCGGGAATGTTTACGTCCTACCGTTGTATCTCCTGTTGGTGTAGACCCATGACTTCATTCACTACCATCAGAAAAGGAAAGGAAGAGTACTTACCGAGGCGTGGGCAGTGCAAAGGTTGGCCACATCCCTTTTCCATTGCAGGTTCGAAACGGTGTGCTGGTAAATGCAGGTGGTGCTCACGGCATGGGAGCTTCCCAAAGCAATCCATACATGAACCTTAGGGGGACCCCAAGAGTCCGTATGTATCCCTGGGGTCCCTAAGGCATCCCTGCTTTGAAAGTCTTTGAGAAGCCCATGTCTGTGTGCACGCGGAGAACTTCTCAAAAGCTCCGCCTTGGCTGAGCATGGGAAATGGGACTGATGTTTCCCGTGTTCAGTGCCCTACAGTCAGTGTTTTCCAGGATCTTAGCAATAACGGGCATCATGCCGAAGTCACGCCATAGTACCACTTCTGAACTTGGTAGTTGTGAGTATAACGTCTGACCTTATAGCTACCTAGCAGTCAGCATGGCAACCCTGTACAAATGGTCCATTGAAAGGACCTGTTCTTACGGGGGCCATTGCTCATGTACAGCTTTGCGACGCTGCGCGCTGAAAAAAGACGGGCAAGGACGCGGGACTTCTCCAAACTCGGGAAGCATGCGAGCCTCGGAAGGGAGCCCCCAGCTAGGAATTGTACTCATAGCAGATCATTCCCATGTTGATGATTATGCAGGACATCGAAGGTCCTAATCTGCGGCGTTTCGGAATGTAAGTTTCACATCGGGAGCGGGACCTCAGACTGCACCTGAAGTCTCAGTACAGCATGCAGTATTGGTGAAATGTTAGCCGGCATGCCAATCCAACACGCAACCTGACATGACAACATGTGACTAGTATTTTGCTTTTGTTGAGATACCTCCGTTCCGAGATCATCTGCGATTCGATGAGCGGCTGATGTCCATGAAAAAAGTTGTGTAAATTTCCGTTTTGTTGTGGTGCTTTGAAAGAAGAATGCGGCCTGGTTAAGTTCAACCACCAAAATTCCCCAGGACTCCAATGGGAGCGACAAACCCAAATATGATGACCCCTAAACCCTAAACCCTAAACCCTAGCCATTTCGGCTCAAGCTAGAGATGAAACCAACCCGGACCCAGCTGCTCCCAACAGAACTTGGCAATTGTTATGTTGGCCTCCGCTCTGGGTTCAGGGTATGGGACATTGGTTGGTTTTCTGACCATGTGTTCCAACTTAGAATCCCTGAGCCTGAATGCTCGAATCCGAAGTCCTAGGCCAGGAACTTTTTCCCCAAGCCGTAGACCCTAAACCCTAAGCCCTAAGCCCAAACCCTAACTTCTCCTGTGAGCCATTCGGTGTTCTTCTGGCGCGGGCTGCTGGACGTCGTGTGCTTCGGCTTGCTCATCTGCTTGGGCACGGGGGACTGGCGGCCAGTACCTGGAGTGCAGCTACCTGATTCTCCGCAAGATTGTCCTTGTCGTGGCCATGGCAGAGGGGTCTGAGGCCATGAAGGTAGACGGCACTCGAAAGGGAGAAAATCGGGATGGCAATGATGAACCGGGACAAAGTCCCTTTAAGCGCAGGGACGGGGGAGATCTCACCTTTGCAAGCATACAGAGACTTCTCCAGCAACAAACCAGGGAGATTAGGGAGCAGACGCTATCTGACATTCAGGACGCTGTTACAAGGCTAGAAGAGTCGACCAGTAAAAACATCAAGATGGTTCGTGAGGAGGTCAGTACACTCAAGCATGCAATGAGCCAACAAGGGAGTCAGATGGACGACCTGAAGCGTGAAAAAGCCAGCCTTGCTGCTAGAATCTCGCGACTCGAGAGTAAGGGATCGGTTGAGTCCACGGCTTTGGGTGAGTCTGAGCGGAAACTCGCAATCATCATTGGAGGGTGGCACAACGACACTCACAGGGATGAATTGCTGTTAAAGATCAGGGAGGCGATCGATGGCCTTGACATCCGAGGTCAACTTGATGCTGATCCTGTTATCCCAGGCCTACGACGTGGTTTCGGCATCTTGAATCTTGATACCAGGCAAGGTGAGACGGCAAGAGACACTCGTGAAAGGATGATTGCAGTGATCAAAACCATCAATGCGGCCAAGACCTCGGACTATGGAATAGTTGAAGGTAAAACCATGTGGGCAGGTGCCAGCAAGAATCCTCAGGAGAGGCAGCGTGCTTCACACGCCAGCAAAACAAGGAAGTTGATGCATACGCTTGCTCCGCAACTCCTTCAGCTCGGTGTGGATTAAAGGCACCATGATTAGTTCAGCCACGCGCCCTCGGCCTCGATCAGGACACGTGGTGGAGGGCAAGAACTTGCAATCATGGCTGGACGTCGGCAAGTTCGCCGAACTTGCTTCCCTGAATGCACAACGGGCAGAAGAACGGTGGTGGGCATGCATGTCGGAGTGACAGGGCTTAGAACGTGTCACCCCCGGTGATAACATGCAGATATCTTCATGGAACGTTGCTGGGGTTGGAATTCGCAAAGTTCATGATTTCTTGGATGCCGCCTCCCTTAGGGATGAAAGCATCTGGCTGCTTCAGGAATTACCCAGGAGCCAACCGGGTTGGGACCGCAAGCCCGAGGTTTGTGGCAAGCTCACTTTGATGAAATATCAGGGGCTAAACACGTAGGGAGGAGTTGGCATTGCGTTTGATACCTCTAAGTTCTGTGTACGGGCTAAAAAGGCTTGCGAGCATGGAATTTGGGTTCTCTTGCAACGAATTGGGTCCAAACAATGTTTTTGGATTGGGTCATGCTATTTGAGTACTGGCATCCCACTGGACGAGTACAATCTGCAGATTGCCGCACTACTCTCTGCTTTACCAGCAACCAGGTGGCCAATTATGGCGGGTGGTGACTGGAACGTACCTTTTGGTTGGCAGTTTTCAGGGGAAGAGATGCAGACTATCAGCTTGGGTAGCGGTGCTAAGCTCAGACAGCTCAAGCTTTCCATGATGCAGCGTGCCTTGCAGCTTGTGCCTCAGAGAGACCCGGCTGCGAGAACTCATATCTCCCGTAAAAATGACGGGAGTGGAGGGCAAATCAATGGGACTTGGTGCAGTCTCCCGCACAGGTGCAGTCCCGTGGAAGTTGCTTTAGGAAGCAGGAAAATCATCGACACTGACCATGAGTATATCACCACTAAGTACATTATGCAGTTTCCATCGAGAACTACAAACAATCGATCTGGGGTGAGATCAGTAGTGCAAGTGCCAATCCCACCAAGGCGGATTGATCAGAGTACCTTGATGCGACTTGCCAGGGAGTGCACGGGGCCGAGGCTTCCACCGAGAATACCGGTGCCTGAGGATATTAAGATACAGGGGTCTAAAGCTAAACGCACTAGGGATCCACGAGATTGGAAAACCTATATGTCAGCGCTGCGTAATTTTCGTGCCAAGACTCGTGAACAATCTTTGGCTAGGGCTTCTGTGGGTGGGGCTGAATACAGAAAGGTGAAGCGTGAAGGAGTCTGTTCATGGCAAACTCAGTTCGGAGCTGAAACTGATGGAGAACCTCTTTCATGCATCAACCAACACTTTCAGTCCAGATTCGATGCTGGTGACGGAGCTTCCTGGATCAGGAACTTGAACACCTGGGTCGAGAAGTTTTGCAGAGCAGCTTGCGTGACAGGAAGCCCCTAACTGAAGCTGAGGTATACAGTGCCGTTATGAAGGGTGGTTCCTCTAAGGCTGACCATCATTCCAGCGCCCGAGGACCACGAGGCGCTGCGGGCCGCCTGCGCTCAGCTGCGGATATGTGGCGTGTTTGCGCCCCTCGGCCATGCGAAGGGATGCCCCATCGGTCTCTGCTGCGCACGGCTGCGGCTGTGGCCTGCCAACGGCGAGACCAACTTGCTGCACTACCTGAAGGGCAACCCCTTGGGATCATGGGTACTCCTATAGGCCCCAAGGTCACGACCATGGACATGTTGGAGGCGTTTATGGAACGTGCAAGAAAGTGCTTATTTAGAGCCAAGTACCACATACTGCACAGTTCTGCTGCACCTCTCAAATCCCGTTTGCGAATTTTGGACAGGGTTGTGCTTGCCACCATGACCTGGGCATTTGGCATTATTCATGGAGGGGTTGAGGTGACGAAAGCCTTGAATGCACTCCAGCTTGAAATGGTCATTAGTATGGCCAAGTGGAAGCGAAGACCTGATGAGGGCCACGTGGACTTCCAGATACGCACCCAAAGGATGTCGAGGGCTATTGTGCATGGTACAGAAAGGGACCGTGGGGGTACTGTGCAATTGGGGCTGTGCTGGCGATATTGGGGACATGTTTTGAGGGCTGCGCAGCAACAGACCCCCACTTGCTCTGGCATCATGCTTGCTTTTAGGGACCTTGAGTGGTGGACTAATGAGCAAGCTTTAGCCTCCGGACAACGTCATGGTCGTCGACATTACCCTCGCATCATGAACCAGCAAAGGGATGTCATCAGGGTTGCGGGCCCAGATTGGAAGAGGGTTGCTTGCAACAGGGCGACATGGAGTTCACTTGAAAAAAAGCTACAAATCCGGGACATAGACTGGGCTAGCGGGCGCCAACTTCAAATCTGTTCATAATGCTGGAATCATCGGAATCCTGGCCCACTACATAGCTGAGCGTGATGAAGTAAACTACTTGCAGTTTGATAGCGCAGCTTGTATCCTCAACACAAAGGATTTGCAAGATGTTCCGACTCACTTCGGTGCTTGCATGGCTTTGCTACCCTCAAGGGGTAAGTGCGGCCTCTGCAACAGC